GGGGTCAATGAATCTTCATATGTTTTCTGTGGGTGTATTTATGGAAATGTGAATCTTTCAGAACAAATTGAGATCTGACTACGGTTCACATGTTCCACATTTCATTTTAAGTGTGTGATGGAGTGTGGGACTCGCACTGGTCTGGTCCGGTCTTGACTTTGTCTCAACCCCTCAAAGTCTTTGTCTTGATTCGGTCTAGTTCCACTCTGGTGTGGTTTTGGTCATGTCTTGGTCTCGGTTTAGGCGGCCTTGACAACAACACTGGTAACCACAGACTGTTGGATCAGTGTACCTCGCATGAGTCCGGGGAGAAATCCGATGGTTGGGTAGACAGTTTCAGCAACTTCTTCTTCGTAGACCGTTTTGTGGCCACGTAGGTGATGAGAACCACCAGCATTAGCAATAACACAGCAAAAACTACAACTCCAGCAATTATGTTGATAAGATAGTCATCGGTTTTAGAAGCTTCACAGGGATCCAAAGGGGCACATAGGGAAGAAGACATGAAGATTGATACATGTTAAAAGAGCCATCATGTGCTTAGAATAAACAAAACAACATAACAACCACATCTATGAATATAAGTGCTAGAAAAAGGATGGATGGACTGACAACTAAACTCAAATCATTTTAAACTTAAGTTTTTGCAAAAACTGACACATTTGCCTATAGTGATACAATTAGCTTCCTAGCTACTGTAGCTAGCTGTAGTGTTCGCTAAAGGCCTGAAGGTGCCGACTGAAACTCCACAGAGAAATATTCCAAACTACTGACGCAAAAATACCACTTTTAGATTGTGAGTGTGTCCCGGTGGCCCACAATCTGATACACCAACATTTTACAAATAAAATGATTGCTTAGACTAGAGCAAGGGCAAAGCTTTGGTTTGGCTATTATGTAGATGTGATTTTCACAATAAAAGATAAAACCATCTGGTATGTCCTTAAGACAGTGAGCCTGTGTTCATGTCAGACTGTTGTTCAACACCTGGGTACCAACATCACCACAGTGCAGCTGTAGTTCATTCAACATAATAGAAAACACAGAATAATTGTGCCAGTGTATTAACACTTTCATAATAAAGCTGGTCAGGAGATCATAACCCTGTCATAAGTGCTCACCTATTGTATTCAGAGTAGAGGGGGTAATGCAGTGATGTCTGCACTCAGCGGTACACCTATGAAGAAAAGAGAGGACGTTTCACAGCATGAAGGAGGAAGTAGCACATCTTAAGAGGAAGTGATTAACACGAACACAGACATGCCTTCTTTGACACCAGCAAGTGAATTCAAACAATTGCATGTAAACACTATAAATATGGTTTCACAGTTGATACTCCCCAGGAAACTGGTACCAGTTGAAAGAAAGATAGTGCTTCATCTGTCATAATTACTACTCAAGGGTTTAGCTAAGGATTATGGTTCTTTTGGGCTCCCCTACCATTTCCTCTTTTAACTGAGAGAAATATCTTTGTGTGTCCACCTACTTAACGATTTACTCAACAATGAATAACTGGACACATTCCTCACTGAAACAAAGACTTGATAGGTTGATAGATAGGTTGATAGGTTGATAGGTTGGTATATTTAACCAATGGGCAAATGTTCAGTAAATGATAAAGCACCAGTAACCCAGTTAAAATGTCTTAACTTCTCTATTCTGTTGCCAACGAATGGAAAGATTTAACAAAGTCGGAAGTGAGCCGCAAGTTTCAATTCAACAAACCAACTTCCCCATCAACAACTTTAAATAAAACCATCCCAAACAGCAGGATGCGAACAATGCGTGTACAACATCTTATATACATTAGTGTACTCACTTCTTGCAGGGTTCACACTTGCCCTTGGCTCTGTAGTAGTTCTCTCTACATTCACACACAGTGTTTGTCTCTGACGTACCTGTGCACAACAATCATTCTATTGAAAACTAAACTGAAGAAATACTTGATGAGCCACAGAATGAATAAAGAAAATGATTTTGCATAGACATAAAACAGTATTTGTATAACATTGCCAGGTGTTAAGACTCACATGTCTGTTTTTCCTTTTCATTCTCTTTACATTTTGTACATCTGCGACACTCGTATGTCTCTGAGTCGATGCGAGACTTGTACAAACCAGCCAAACAGCGACAAACTGTGTTCTTGTATTTTTGACATGGCGCTACCATTTCTTCATGCTTTGCTGCTGCAGAAAAGTAAAAAAAAAGTGCAGAAAGCTAATCATTACCTGATACAACAATGACCAATCAAAGAGTGGAAACAGATTCAGAAGAAAGGGTAATGCTGCCGTACCTCTGCACTGCCTGCAACTGAAACAGTTGGGGAAGGAGTTCATCTGGTCCGAGTATTGTTTCTCAGGACAGGGTGAGCAGTCGCTCCTCAGACCCGTTGTATTACAATTTTTTACAAGCCTAGTACCTGGAAGACATGAACGTCACATGTAAACACAGTGACTTTGCAGAATGGATTTAATAGTAGTAGAAGAAGTCTGCCTGTGCAATATCTAAAAAAATGAGCATGCAACTGTGACTCATGTGCTGAAGGCCGCACAGTACCTGGAGAGCATTTGATGCAACAGATTCCCTCTTCAGAGAGATAGTCCCCATATGGACACTTCTGCTCCTCTGGAGGTTCTGACAATGTCAGAGTGGGGATGAGCATGCACTGCAACACAGAACATACGATGGATGTATATAGAAAAGCTTTTTGTCCGTCACCAGGAAGTTTTTCATGTATTTACTGAGTCACTTTAAGTTTTTTCTCACCATAAGGAGGAGCAGTATTGTGCCAATAGGGTTTTTTTTGTCCCATCTTCCTCTGTGGCCAGCTCCCTCCATTATCTTACAGGTTTAAGTCAATCCATCTGAGGACACATGTAAGGAAAACAATCTTTAAAACAACTCTAACAGCCAATGTAATAGCGATACAACTCACAGGTATAGCGTGTTCTATTACTGAGTCCATCTTTTGCTGAATGACGGACAGACAACAGGCTCTGTGCCCACACTCTACTCATTAAAACAAATAATTCAATGCCTTGAATTCCTTTAAATGTACAATGAGATCAACTCATCTTTCTTAATGTCATAGGTAAAAAAAAAACAACTAAAGGTTAGCTAGGGCTGTCGTCGAAATCCTTAGTCGATTAACATGCACGCAATTTTCTCGACTAATTAATAAGTTGATTTAGTCGACAGATCTGTAAAGCTGAGTGTCTCCACGAAGAATCACACAAAAGCAACACTTTCAATCTTGAAAATAAAACCTAAATACAATTGTCCAGATAACCTGTTATTGGCACACAATGATGACAACAGGGCCTCAAGTTTCAGTTTATAATGTGCTTTAGTGGTGCACCTTCACATTTACTGTTTTAAATATTGTTATTATTACAAATTAATACAAACCAGTGAACCTGGGTCGGTCAGGGCCCTGGGGCCAGTTAGTGATCCAGCCTGAAAACAGCTTTATGTCTGACTAAAGTTGGACCGAGTCTGACAATGAGAGCCTTCTTTGGCCTTTATTCAGGCGCTGACTCAGCTCATATAAGAAGTTTTCTCTATTTATTTCCATCCATCAGTAAATAATGTTTTCTGGTTTGTAAGTAGAATCCTTATATGCATAATTTACATGGTTGAAAATATTAAATCTACCCAAACTTAACTAAATAACTCCTGACCCATAACTGATTTCCTTAATGGGTCAATTCACCCACATTAGAAAAGATGGATGGTAAATGGACTTGTACTTTTCTAGTCTTCTGACCACTCGAAGCTCTTTAACACTACATGTCATTCACCCATTCACACACTGATGGCAGGGAGCTGCCATGCAAGGTGCGACACCGCAGGGGTGCAATTAGGTAGACACATGGACTAGCAGAGCTGTGAATAGAACCACCGATCATCTGATTGGACAACCCTGCTCTACCACAGAGCCACAGTCCATGCATGTGTTTTGGTATCTAACCTGCAGTTAGTTTTAGATTTACCTGCTGAGGTTTTGAGTCATCAACCTCTGAGATCACTATAAAATGGAGGTCAAGGAAAATATATTTGAGGTGTTTGAGGTGTTGATTATTAGTCAGGAGCATTAACACAGGAACTACTATAAATAGTTTATAAACAGTAGAACTTTTAGAAGTGGTTTTCTCAACACTTAAGCTGATAAAACAAAACCATCTGAAAGGTCGTATAGATGTGAGCATTCATTTCATATTTGGATCAAAAGTAAAAGCCACATACCAAACATCATATCATATAACGCATTTGAAAACAATACCTCTTGGCTGATTTTTTTCATTTTTATTGAAAGTAGACTATCATTTTAAAAATGTTAAATGAATGGATTCTCCTCAGCTAGAAATAAGCGTTGAAAGTTATTAAAAGGGATTTTAAAAAAACACGTTAGGCTATTTTATTGAACATGTATGCCTACAATAGTTCGTGGTGAAATAAAGAACGAATTGGTCTACAGCCAATTTAAAAAACGACTGTTGCATACTTTGTGCCACTTGTTAGGCAGCTTCGCGCCTCACTACCCTGTCGCAGTGGGACGCCGACATTTCACTTTAATAAACTTTAACACCTTCAAAACTCAACCCGACGACTTACGTGTGTACATACAACGTTGACGTACTGTATCAACTTAATCTACACTCAATCTTTTACTGTTTTTCTTCCTTGTGTCGTTGGTTTCGGTTCAGCTGGAGACCACACAACGCCCACCACAGTCCGACACGAAGATCGGATCGCTCCTTTACCACAGACTGACATGCAGAGTTATTTTACCGTCACTTACCTGCACAACCACCGTCGCAACGAGGGGTCTCTCTTTTACTTCAGATCCATACATCGACATCAATGTCAATTTAATTTAACATAACTATGTTTGTTTCTTTTTTAATCGACGGAAGAACGACCGCTGCCCCTCTCGACTGAGCACGAGCGAGTGGGGGCGGACTCAAACGGGAAACGGCCGCGTCACGAGACCATTTCAAGGAATTGTGAGTTTGGCAAGACATCTCCGGGCAAAAAAACACACTTAACCCGTCAGCTGATCAGTGCAGACATGCACGCCTATAAGTCTACAGGTGACTCACTGTCAGATGATTGCCACCCAAAATATAGACGATATGTAGGTTATTCCTAGCATTTGGTGCCATTTGAGTCACCACTACATAATACGGTATATTTTGTGTAAAGATGGCCTTATAACTCTTTCTAAAATATGTACGCAGGAATAATTTAATTGAAAATAATTACTCCAATTTTAGCACAAGTAGGCTAAACTGCCATGTCCCCAATCATGTTTGGTCAAATTAAGATACAGATATAAGTAATATAAATCAAACAAATTCCAAATTTTTCCTCATTGTTATATAGCTATATTTATAATATTCCTCACCAAATGTTATTTTTTGTTATTAATGCGCTTTTAATGCTTAAAATCTATGTTTTGTCCCTGAGTTGACTGTCCCCCCTGTTACTACGATGCAAATCTCCCTGCACACGCCCCCTGACATTTCCTCAAGTCACGTGACTAAGGAAGTAGCACTTTTTGCGGGACAATAATCTACAAGTAGCAGAGTAAGTATTACTCTTTAATAAACCTTTTTAATCAATGTTTTAGAATGATGTTGTAAACCATTACATATCCACCCTGTTATGCTTATTCATAGTGGAAACCAATCATTTTTGGTCATTTTGAAAATAAGGTTAATAAATGTACAAAAAATCTTCCTCTGTTGTCACTAAGTGCTAGCTTGCTTTTCATCTCATGAGTAGTAATGGCTAACTTTAGCATAAAATGTCCTTTTTTTTCAAATTAAAGCTCATTTGTAAATACAAAATATATTTTAAGGCTAAAGTAAGGGACATTTTTACTCTTAGAAAATGTAATAATTACAATACCTGTGTATTCAAAACACATATTAATAGAGATGTAAATGTCCTGTAACAGGGTGGACATTTGGTCTTGCTCACATGTAAAGAATTGTTCAAAATTATGAGACCATCATACCCTGAGCTTGACCAACACATTTTTCTTATAGTTTTCACAAGCCCTCTTTCAGATGAAATATAAAAATCATGGAAAATTAAAAAGTTTTTGATGGAAGTAAACCTGGCTGAAATGGCACCGAATAGTAGGAATGACCCATGTAGGTGCATGGCAGCCCACACATCTATGACATATCCTAATGAATGCTTAACTGCCTTACATTGGTTAAGAAGATGTTAAATAAGAGGAAGAAATACATTGATCTTATTCAATTAATTTAGCATGTTGACCTTAAATACACCCTTGATTGTTTTTTTTAACATCATCTTAATATCGTGAAAAATTCAGATACCTGTACATACTTTTTTGCTTTTAAAACTAATAATTACAAAAGTTAAAGTTGAAAGTTCAGTCTTTCCTCTAGAGCAAGTAAACAAACAACATGAATTACTAATGAATAGGTCTTTTCTTTTCTTAAAAATCCCCAATTGTTAAGGCCTAAATGAATCACTTTAAACCAGTGAATTTTAAGAAATGGCATTTTAAATCATTGTTTGTAGTAGAAACTATATTAAGAGTATAGAATAAAGGTTCATATGGACTATTCCCAATTCATTGTAGGGATATTCCCGTATAAAGTAAGTGCAGAGTAAGTATAAGTAGTTTCACTGTAATTACTGGCACCATAATTGGAGTATGCTGGTAATTTAGTCAGCGGGCCAGCAGAGTGTCATGTGACTTTGCTGTTACAGTAGTCGACATGTAAGAGCTCAGTCAGCAGAGCAAGACAAGTGCTTCCTCAGAAAAACCACATCCTTCCTTTTTAGTGAGCAAAAATGTGTACTCTTCCTCTTCTCTGTCTCTCTCTGGCTGTCTTATGCACATAAACTGTGGCACATATGATATACAGACACTTCAAGTCTTTTCTTACATGCACATGCAAACACTCACACTGATGAGTTTCACACAGCCAGTGAGGACAGATCTGAGTCTGCATGTGGATTTTGTGTTTCACGATTTCTTTCTTGTTTAATCTCTGTTTACTTCATCACAACACACCTCAACATGTTCCTGGCAAGTTCTGATGAAAGAGAGTAATCCTTTCGGTCAAGCAGACTAATACTGAAACCTAAAGATAATCATGACCAGGTTTGCTTTAAGTCACCTCCAAGTAATTTTAATGCTCAGTCATCTCTCTTCCAGTCATCCCTGTAATTTTAGTGTTTCAGAGGCAGCCCCTTCACGGTGCTGCCTCCTCACCCTGAGGCCCTGTTTCACAGTTGACAGGAGGTCACGTGTTGTGAGAAGAGCATAACATGACAGCTGAATGTTAGAGCGTGCCGAGATGAAGAAAGGCTGCCACTCAGTGTCTAATTGAGTTTGAGATTAGGATCTTTCTGAAGTGGAGACCGTTTGATTTAAAAAGAAATTAACAAAAACGAGACACTGATGGTGAACAAAAATAATTGTTTGGAAAAGATCTTCACACAAATGCAGATTAGCTGGTCATCACCAATCAACTAATGACACCAATAGTTCTCACACTTAAAAATGTTTATTCGAGAATAGAAGACTTCCCCAAACACTCATTACTGACCGCAGCATTTTACTCTCATCTCAGTGGACAGATAATCATCTCAGCTACCACACACAGAAAGTATACACGCAGGCAATGCAGTTAAGAGTAATTCAACCAGCAATAAACAGCAATAGGTTACATGTCAATCTCAAGGCAGACATGATAAGATGACTCATGTTACTTTTGGTATTTGGTATTTTGATAGAGATCTCTTTTTATTGCTCACTCCTGTGCGTCATAACGTTGCAGAGCAGCTCCTCAGAATAATGTAGTTTCTTGGTGTAATGTTTATCCCCTCAACAGCTTTCTGTAAGAGCAACTGGATGGCTTTTGAGTCAAATAAGTGGTGTATTATATACTCAAATGACCTTGTCATTCAATTCTAAGAAAGAGATAAAGAGTAAGATATACTTCGAGAGAGAGAGAGAGAGAGAGAGAGAGAGAGAGAGAGAGAGAGAGAGAGAGAGAGAGAGAGAGAGGGAGAGAGAGAGAGAGAGAGAGAGAGAGAGAGAGAGAGAGAGAGAGAGAGAGAGAGAGAGAGAGAGAGAGAAAGAGAGAGAGAGAGAGAGAGAGAGAGAGA